CGAGAGTCCTTAGTCTTATGAGAAAGTATCGGTGCTATTTCTCAAGCAAGTCCTATTTCATTTTATTTTTAATCAACTCTTGCCAAACAATCACGACCACAACAAAAAGAATCATCCAATTTGGTGCAGTCGTTTAAAAGATATGGACGTACAAGCATTCCGATAGCTCACTTTTATTTATCTACATCTAGATAGTAAGTAGGTATTGATATTAACGATTGACGCACATTGTCCATCTCTATTGGATGCGTTTTTATTAACCGACATTGGTATGGTAATGTTAATCTAGGTCAATAACTATACGTCTGTCAAACTGTGTCAGTTAAATTAAGACTGCATTGTCGACTCTTTAGAAAACAAAATCGATTACCATCTACAATTAGGCCCTCAATATTTCACGCTCATTCAAGATTGAGTGATGGATTAATTAGAGGTTCAAGTTAATGAGATAGTCGATAGAAATAAATAAGATAGTAACATAGACAGGAGAAACAAGATTAGAGACTGCGATCTCACAACCACACCCATGGTTGGATGGTTTTATAGATATCTTTATTCTAAAGTGCTCAGCAGGTTAGCACAAAACCTGTGATTACTCCGGTGTTTGGCAATAGGTCTACCCCCTTGCATGATAGCTGCAATGAAACATAACTAAGAAAACCCCAACTTCACTCACTGCCGGGTATAGGTTTCACAATTTTACCTTAGAGTGCTGAATAAAAGTTTTTCTTTCTTTCTTACCCCTATTTCCAGTCTTGGTCTACATTTTAGACTACATTTCTTTATTTTTGTTTTGTTTTTTTATTTTAGTAAGTTCTGTAATTTGTGTTATGCGTCATCGTATCGTCGTCATTTGTATCAGAGATATTGTCAACATACTATTTGTTAAAAGAGAGACTCGAATCTACTTTTTGGAACTAGCACCTAGCTTTACTGACGTATAGACTAACAGACTATTATTTATTTTATATTTGTTGACGTTTCAAAAGTACCAAATGATGGTTTAATTGAAATAAATGCTTTTTTAGTTTGAGTTTGGTCATAAAATATTGTTCACAGTTTCCACATTAAAAAAAACAAATACGAATCAATCGAATAATGATACCAATCGTGAATTTTATGGATGCAAATACCATTACATTTGGTAGGGCAGAGAACAAGTGAGCGTACAGCCTCGCACTTTTGACCTATTGCGACACACCCTCTCAGAGGCTTTACTGAGATCCGCGAAGCTGTTGCCTACTTACTATTTACTTAGATTATTGTTATTATGCAATCTATTTAACTATATAGCAATAAGGTTGATTATCATTACATGGGATTTGTGGATAATGGTGAAATGTATGTTACCTGTTACATTATAATATAGACGTCCTGTCCTTATTTGTTTGGGGAAATGATAATTATAGAAAAGGAAGAGTTTCTCTCTTATAATAACTCTCGACTGCACGGTTGGTGCGGTGGCTGGGCAACTGGCTGCCGCGCAACGTGTCGCGGATTCCATTCCCGCACGGAACAACTCTTTGGGTGATTCACAAATTGTTGTTCCTTTTCTGGGTGTCATGTGTATGTGAACTTGTATGTTTGTAAATTCACCCACGACACAGGAGATGGGGCAACGTTTAAAAAGATCTCAATGAAATAAATTACATGCAGGCACAAGAAAGTATTATGTAAAACCCTGACTAAATTATATCCAGTACTAGGATTCTTCAGTCAATAGGGTGCGAGCTTGTAGTAAATATTGAGTAGGCACAATTCCAGAGTAAATGACGGTATGAAGAAGGGTTTCGAAATCAGAAAATCCAATTACCCTTCGCCAGACTTGAGTTGATTGAGCGTTGATGAAAATGTAAACCAATTTGCTGATTGGGTGATCTTTCCGATTTTATCGTAGCTGACATATCAGAGAAAAGAGAGAGAGCAATGGATTTCTGGCCCTGATTGGGTAAAGAATTATTGTGCTTTTTATGGTTTTTTCAAAAACTATAGCATGCAGCTGCATTTAGGCCCAATCCCGATTACAATGAGACTCACAACAAAACTGTATAAACTGTATAACAAGAAGGCCACATATAAAAATATCTGCTCCTCTGTCTACCTCTTCAGGGAATAACAGACATGATCTTAGATAAATCGGAGTCACCTCGTGGCTTCACACGAAACCGTAAAATGTTTGACATTTCACAGTCGTGCCATTTATTGAACAATCCCGTAAATGCCAGTACTATGTCGAACAATTTATCATGATCCAGTAGATTGTGTTCAGGCGAAATTTGATGCCTTTATAATAGATGAAGTTTCTATCGTATACCTAATTTATTAGTAGATTAGATATCAATTGAATGGTTCTGGGTGGTCCTTTTGTACACATCTCTGATTTGTAATTGCCGAAAGGGTAGACGCGCCTTGCTGCATCTTACAAACAAGGATGAGAACTTTACTAATGTTAAACAAGGGAGTCAATCAAGAATATGGTGGACGAGGGATGGTGGAGAGCAGATGGAATGGCACTCCATTTAAAATACTGATATTCAACCAAATCTGCTTAAAATTAAGTGTCAACATAAAGGCCAGGAGAAAGAAAAGACAGCCGACCAATGTATCAGACCATTTCAATATAACAAGTCCATTAAAAAGTAAGAACGTACGAGTAGTAATAAACACATTAAAATTGCAACAAAAAAATTTAATTAATACAGCATTCGAGTTTACCAATTAAGTACAGCACAGACCTCACGTCATCAAGGTCCCAATTTACAAAATAAAGATATCGTTACACAAACTGGTCGAAAACCGGAACATCTCGTTAAAGAAACTGACTGGGCGACCATTACCTTAGGCAACAGTATGCAATGCATCGATGCAAGTTACAAAATCAATTAAATTAGGTTTTTTTTAAGCGGGGAAAATCATCGAATTTCTGCTCCCGCCTGGGTGAGGCGGGAGGGAGTGTCAGACTCTTACTGCCTAAAAACTACCCTGTTCCTTCTCCTGCACGTCGAGCCGGAGCCCCGGTAACCCGTTAGGTTCTCCGCGACAATTAAACTAGGTTTAATGTTAAGTTTAACTATGGTTCTTTTTTAAGAGATTGAGATAGTAGATATTCCCTTGAATCCCCAACAATCCTCAAATTCCTAATCCCAAAAGGCCGGTAACGCACTTCTAACGCCTCTGGTGTTCCCCGTGTCCATGGGCGACGCCGATTGCTTACCATCAGGTGATCCGTCTGCTCGTTTACCGACTTACTCCATAAAAAAGATAGTTAAATTTGATTAATAACCCAAAAGTAACAAAGAAATAATCTGCAATACGATCAAGGTTTCAGCGACCACGAAGACCAAAATAGATTTAAAGAACGTCAAAAAGAAAGGAATACAGTAGACCAACGAGACTAACAATTTGACAAGCAACAAGAGACTCTCCACCTCGTTGGCCGAGTGGTCGCAAGTGCGACTGCCGGGCAAGGGGTCTCGGGTTCGATTCCCGGTTCGGGCAAAGTATTACTGGGATTTTTTTAAATTCTCAGTAGTACTACCACGGAGTTTGAAATTGTGCCCGGTATATGGCAATAGGCTCACTCCCTATTACATGAGACTCGTAGCATAAATAGTGAAAAGTGGGTGTTACATTGTACAGTGGCATGACGTGCACCTCTGTCTACCCGTTCGGGGATAAAAAGGCGTCATGTTATGTTATGTGTGTCAATATTAATTCCCTACTTATATTTTACTTTTCACTTCCATTCAAATCTAGCACTTATGCACAACTTTACTAACGGGACGCGCCATACGAACATAAAACTCCAAAAACCTAACATTTCTATATAAAATCATCTATTAATTAATATGTAAACGTTTTGATTTGATGTTTTTATCACCAATTAACTAGATTCACTCATCTTTCAACAGTTATAGAAATTGATATGAATTAACAACTTGAATTAATAAAAGTATATCAATTCGCATTATCGGTAGTCCAGTTATGTTAATTTGTTGTATAGATATATGCGTGTGAGTTTCTCCGAGCCAGTGAGCCCATTTATTTTATAATTGCAAGTAATATTATGTATGAATTAACCTACATTTTAAAAATCATATTAAATTATGCGGTGAAAAATTGGTAGAGGAAAGAAGATGCGTTCATTTAGATTTAACCCGTGGTGAAATAGAGACAAATGGACTAAGCTAGTGACAGAATGGTATCCAACAAAAACACCTAGTTGCCGATAGTTAAAAAGCAAATAATAAAAATTTGTATATTAGAAAGTAGGCATGTTAAAGAAAATATGTAATATTTGATAAGAAACAGCAATAAAGGCTATTTTTATTTATTTATTTATTATGCCGTAGATGTAAGCGAGACGCCATGTATTTTCTGTTGTCTATTAAATGAAGCTTTTATGCAAGGCCGTCTGAGACTAAGCTGCAGACCATGGGCACACAAGGATTCCTTGATTCCTTTTCCAATGTATCTTTTTTTACGTAACCCCACACTAAGGTTTGCTCCTGTATCTTGGGTGCGTTTACAAACATGTGAACTCGTATACATAACACCAAGACCCGAAACCACAATTTGTTAATCACACAAAGATTTGCTCCGTGCAGGAACCGAACCCGCTACACGGTGCACGGCAGCCGGTTATCGCGTAACGTGGTATGTGTCCGTCGTAAAACTTGTCGGGCCTTCGGGATCACAGAGTATTCCTATATTGTTGTTCGGGCCCCCCTGAGCATGGGGGCCCTGGGCACGGGACCCGAGTGGCCTTATGTTAAAGACGGTACTGTTTTATATTAAGCAGTTGGTTAATTTCAATCGTTTTGGCGTGTTAGAAAACTCTCGATAAACCATGGCTAAGCGAAAAAGGTATAACTTGACAAAAACCTAATCTTAAACTTACCGTATTGCAGACATCGCAAATGTCTGTAAAAGGCCACTACTTAAATAGGTTATTATACACTTTGTAAGCAAATATGAAGCATGTTTTGATTTTGACTCACCTCTTCTAGCCGTAACGGCTCCTCTAGTCCAGCAGCTATTCTCTCCCGCTTCTCCCTCTCTTTTCTCTCTTTCTTCTCCCGTTTCCGTCTCTCTTTCTCTCCATCCCGCTCTTCACCCCCTCCTACGTCACCGCCTGTTAAGACCGCGGTCTTCTTCATGAAATTAAACATGGCGGCTTGGCTCTGGAACAAAATGAAATTGATGTTTAAAATTACAAAATATTATTAAGGATGGATTTAAACATACTTTTAATTTGATGTACAATTTTGTAGACATTTATTTCTAGATGTTAAACAGGTAATTCAATATAATAATCATAAGAACATTATTCATCGGATAAAATTATTAAACTTAACCTTTTAGCAAGATATTGACAATTAGATCTGCCTATCCCTTCGGGATAAAAGGTGTGATGTTATGTGTATGTGTAACAACAATAATATTTAAAATAATTTGATATAGGTAGGTCCATTGCAATCGCCCTTGCGACCGCGGAAAGACCATATTGCATAAAAAATGCAGTTATCAATGTTACTGTTGTTATCAAAAGGACCACACATAGTTGTGCAATAAAGACCTTCTATCAATATTTTGTCAGTTCAAAGTTCATTGCACTTGTCCTAGATAATTTTAATTGCACAATCGTCATTTAATTGTGAACTCTCATAGTTTTTAATAAGTTACAGTTTGCATTATTGATGCCCTGGTTAGGGCTGGTACTGCTGAGGTTTGCAGTTTAGTTCCTAAATTGATCAAAGTATCTAATTTTGATATACAATTGTAAACGGAATGCTCCTGACGCCGACAGGTGACGATCAAAAATAAGCTTTATTTTCATAAAAGTAAGGAACTAAATCTGAATAATCGTAAACTCGGAAAAAGTCCACATTAGTACTTGCCATTGGTAGGTTTCGAACCCGCACTCACAAACTATTACACACCAAAAACTATTATGGCTACGTAAAGATAAAATCCGTTCAATTTAATAACTTGCGTAAATTTAATAATTCGAAACATATCGAATCGATTCAAGTCAATATAAAACAATAAGAGATTTGATAGTCACGCTTGAATCGACGCATGTTTTCTAATTATATACAACGTTAGGTATATTTCTTTTGTGAAAGATGTTTATTAAGTATAATATCTAATAAGATATTATTAAATAAAAAGAAACTATAACTAACTAGCAAACACGGCGAACTCCGTTTCGCCACCAGAAGGCTTCGTTTTATGTAACATTACGTTTGGTAATTAGTGAATTTTCGTTGCTATAAACCTCACGGAGCCCGAGACCTTCCCAACAAATGCATAACCGTGGAAATCGGTTCGTGCGTTCGGGCGTCAGGAAGGAAACCCCGACTTATTTTTATATAGTAGATAAAGGATCTAACGTACGGTAACATCGAACATTTAAAAAAAATACGTTGCCTCAATCTAGGATCTTCTCCTGTTCCCTGGGTGCGTTTACAAACATACAATATCACATACCCATGACTGTTATTCTGTCGTCCGTTAAGAAAATATTATTTTATATTAACTTATTTTACTACCTCAATTTTTTATCTAAATAACTCTTAATTATACGCACGAGCCAGTTTTGAGCACCTGCCCTTTTTTAGGATATCTCCGACGAGGTCTGTAATATAATCTTTTTTTTGAACACCCTCTCCTGTCGTTGCGATTAGCATAACATCTGTTTCTTGAGGGGGAGACAGAAGTGTGCCTTTATAATGACAGGTATTTTCTTTAGCTAGGAGTTGTCTATTTTATTCAAAGGATAGTAAAGTTACATTTCTGTATTTTTTAGTTCCTATAACTTTCGCTCATAAGCTGATGCTCTTTCCACAAAACATGTTTAATCCTCCGTGCGCACCTCAAAGAGCCATCAGACCACCACAGATGGGCCCATTAGAGCTTTATCCCGATGTAGAGCCGCGGAAGGCCTTACGGGTTGCCGGGGCTCCGGCTCGAAGATCGGGAGTAGGAACAGGGTGGTTTTGTTTAAGTCAGTAAGAGTCTGACACTCCCTCTCGCCTCAACCGGGCGGGAGAAGTCATTGGTTAATTTTCCCAACTCAAAAAAGGGATTTATTTTATTCACTGGATGATTTAAAAAAAACACCCCGTTTCTACTCCTGCACTACGAGCCGGAGCCCCGGCAACCCGTTAAGTCTTCCGCGGCTCTGTATCGGCATCAGCCCTGTTGGGCCCCATCAGTGGTGGTCTGACCGCGGAACGCGATGCGCCGTACGCTCGGGCCTGGTTCTGGTCGGGCGGCGAATCACATTACCTAACATATCTGATCAAAACGCTAGTGGCATTACGTCATTATGTCCCTTACACTTTAACACATAAAACTGGCGCGGTTTGTACAAAGGCAGTATACCTAGTCATAAAATTAAGACATCACAACGTACCGAAGGACCAACTTTATTCTTAAGCGAAACTGACACCTATAAATTGTATACCACGTAATAACAGCTATGTTCATAGCATTGTTTAACTCAACTGTCAGGACCAAACAGTAATACATCATACAACCTCTAAACCCCTTGAGTAGAGAGTTAAGAGAGAGCAAACTTTGCAAAACCTCGGCACGAAGGACCAAAGAAAAAGAAAGAGGTTTTTGCAAAAAGGTGTGATAAATCGCCAATCCGCCGTTTTATTAGCTAGAATATGTAATTGGCTGATTGGTGATTTATGACCAATAATAAAACTTTACTCGGTTTAAATTTACACTTGATTCTTAGGAAATATTAACTAGTTAGATTATTATGTCTATCATATGTCTATTGTCCTTAAAACGTGCAAGTTGTTAGGTAGTTTCATCATCATCATCATCATCAACAGCCTAAAAACAGCCACTGCACAGCTGACCAAAGACCTCTTCTTTCACAGAGAAAAGGCCTATAGAGGAGTTATTAATTTATCATCACTTAAATACAACAGCAACTTGGCACTCCAATCTCTATTGAATCTGTTCCCGCGACGAACACACACATCGTATGTTTGATTTACTCAAAGTAGTGTGTGTGTGTGTGTGTGTGTGTGTGTGTGTGTGTGTGTGTGTGTGTGGGTATCCAACTGTCTGAACATAATCTTTGACTGCACGGCAGCCGACACATAAAATTGATTGATGCAAATGCATCCATATTTATTATGAACAAAGATATTTTAATACTTTGTTGCACTTTTAGAAACAGAATGTGAAGCTGTAAACAGATATTTCAGTTTATTTTTAGAGGTGAAACGTTTCGCTGAACGACCTATAAAGCGCAACTCTTGGTCATGTGAAGGCGATGTCTATTTTTTAAGCCCTATCTACTAACTACTCTGAAACACGACTTGATTTTATCTATGATGTTAATCAGTAAACACAATTTCGTAGCTACATATTTATTCTATAACTAGCAAACCAGGCGAACTCCGTTTCGCCACCAGTTGACTTCATTTTATGTAATATTTCGTTTGGTGATCTTCTGAATTTTCTTTGCTATAAACCTCACGGAGCCTGAGACCTTTCCAACGAATGCAAAACCGTGGAAATCGGTTCGTGCGTTCCGGAATTATAACGTCAGGAAGAAAACCCGACTTATTTGTATATAGTAGATATTAATATTATACATAACTATGCTACTTAAAATATACATAACCATTTTTGCTATAACTATTCAAAGATAATCCAAAAACACTATGCGAATAACCAAAACTATCAGTATCTAGAGACTGCCAATATTTACTATTCACTGATGGATGATACATCTGAACCTCAAGGTTGTATGTTTAATTAATTTAAATTACTAATGAGCTGTAGGTACCAAAATAAACTAACAATTGAAGAAAGTAGAGAAACCAATCATCTGTATTCGCTTATTCGCTTGCCGTACTAAAGCCCTAATAGGTATTCTTACTAGAGTGACAGGTATTTTAGGGCGCATAAACTTTGTGTAATTAACTAGTGGATTGAACACATTATCTATTAGCGTGACAAAAAGAGAAACTATCCCAAAACGGGCTTAATCCTACACCCCAAAGGCTAACAACGCTCTTCTAACTCCTCTGGTGTTCATAGATTCGGCCCATTCGTGCCGAAGCATGGCTCTCCCATACTTAATACATACACACACAATATAAAACTGCGTTTAAAAAACCGACTTCAAAAAACTAAAAACTAATAGTACTGATAGATTACCCACCCACTAATAGGTTAGAAGTCGGCGCCATAAGTTCTAAACAAAATTATTCATTAAAACCTTTATAAGAAAGCTAATATTCAGATGCTTAGAACTTTGTGACCAGTTGACCACTAAGTTATATCATTATGATATGATAGACTTAACATAAAATAATAATAAACAATAGGTATCATATTAATACATTTGGAGCATGTTACGAGCGATCGATCTATCTAAACATAAAACATTTATAAAGCGTTTTACCAAGTTCCAGTACTTTCCAAATCAGATGATAATAAAGCGGTGACAAGAACGGCCATTATGCCTTTAAAAAATGGCTGTTTGTAAATGACTAATGAGGTTACATAGCAATTATGTCAGGTGTCGTGTTAAATGGTTGTTCCAAGTCGTTCTCTGTTTAAAAACAAACTGGTTTGTAATTTATTTTGTCTTTGTTGTAATTTATGACAATCATTTTTTTTTTAATTTTCTCTAATACTGTACTTTTTTGAAATAAATAACTTTTAATATTATGACCATGTCATTTCACAGCAACAAAGACGCCTTGATTTGTATTAGACATTTTTAGTTTGACAGTTTTAAATCATTATCTTGGCATTAGGTACCTACTTAATAATTAAATTAAATACGGTATTTGACAACTATTCAAATTCAATACTTTTTTCGAACTGTCAAAAACGACAGTTTTCTATGAATTTCGTACAAGATTGTGAATTGTGACGTCATGTTTTTTAGCGCCGAACAGCGCATTTAATTCTTAAAAATTTGCTGAAAAAATACTAAAATCAAGTTAGTTATAAAATCAATTAATGATTATTTATTGTGATTATTGTTAAATATTTTATTGTATTGAACAGTCGAAATAATTAATTTTTGAATAAGGAAAGCCTTATTGGATTTATATTGTATGTAATGTAATAAACAAACATTTGCATGCCTGGAAACTGTGGGATACATTGTACGGTTAAAAATTTGACTAAGATC